GGAGGAAAAAATGGGGGGGGGGGGGGGGGGAGGGGGGAGAGGATCTGATGTCTTTTTTGTTTGTTCAAGATGAGGAAACGAAGAAGAAGCAGGGAAAAATGGGAGCTGGGTTGCGCCGTTTGATAGGGGTCTAAGCTCTCCTTTGATTTTAGGAGTTAGAGATTGTTTTATAGGGGTAGGAATTAGGTTAGGTCAAATGGGAAACGGGTATGGGCTTAATATTTTGGGCTTGAAGGGATTTGGGTCATGAATTTGGGCTAATTAACTTTGGGGTAGGAAGACTAAATCAAAAATCTTTTTTTTTTTCCATTTTTCTTTTTCTTTGATTTTAAAATCTAATTAATTAAGGTCCTAAATCAATTTATTTTTGTACGAATTAAAAATCTTTATTTATTAAAACAACTAATTAACTTAAAACTAAATAAAAACACTACTTTTCAGGTAAAAATCCCCTCTAACTTTCTCTCTCTTCGCTCCAGCTTCTCTCTAAGCGCAGATTAGTCTAACGTGCGCCCTGGAGGTCCATGGGAAGGGGACGAGGTCGGGGAAGGGGACGACCTAAGAAGGAGTTACAAATAGCTTTTGGAAGCGTCGTGCATGTTCAATCTAAGTCAATTGCTTCAACATCAAAGCAACCAGTTGCAAAAATACCAATGGAACAGTACCAAGATCTGGAAGCTTCATCGAGCTCAGCTGTGAAGAATAGATCTATAGCAGAGGTGGTGGATGTAGAAAAATCTCCAGTACCAGTGATTTCACAGCTGCAGAATGGATAGAAACAAAGTGAAAACATCGCCCAAAAGGTAACCACTCCTGCTCAAGCGGAAGAAGCTCAAATAACGACAATTGTGAGAATCAGGAGACAAACAAGGAAGTAAATGAGGTGAAAGATGAGGATCTGAAGCCAAAGTGGAACAACTTGTTCGCGGGAAATAGAGCTGCAGAGAATGGTATGACCCTAAGCTACTTTCCACCTCAAATTGTTAATGGGGAAACTATAGTCCAGCTTGAGAAGAGCGATGTGGAAAAAGAAGCGGAGAAGTGGAAAAATGCCCTCATTGTCTATGTGATGGGGGAGACACCAGGATTTTCAGTCATGCATAGGTATATTTCTCAAATGTGAAACTCTATAACTATGCCAGATCTGTTTCTACATGAGGAGGGATATTATGTGGCTCGTTTTCATGATACAAATGATATGAATGAAATACTATTTTCTGGGCCTTACTCTATTAGAAATCGACCAATTATCCTGAAACCATGGACTCCTGCATTTGATTTCAGTCAAGAGTTTATGACAGAGATCTCTTTGTGGGTGAAATTTCCCAAATTGCCTATGAGTTGTTGGGGTTGTGGATCATTGGGCAGAATAGCTAGTGCACTGGGGAAGCCATTGTTTGCAGATGAGTGTACGACTAAACAAACAAGGATCTCCTATTCTAGAATGTTAATTGAAGTTAATGTATCAAAGCCACTCCCTAACACAATTGTGGTTATGGAGCCAAATGGAAAGAAATTTCAGCAGGAGATGGTATTTGAATGGAAACCTCAGTTCTGCCCTCAATGTTTAACTATAGGGAACATTTGCACTAAGCAACCTGAGCAGCAAGAAAGACCAATTCAAAATAGAAGAAGAGGAGAGCAGAAGAAAGTGGTCCAGGAATGGAAACCCAAAGATGTTCCATCAACGAGCCAACTGGCAGATACATAGCAGCTAGCCCATGTTGAAGTCACTCAACACAAAGATGGTATGAACAAGCTGTAACAACAGGACAATAGAGCACACAACAAAGTAACAACACCTGTGGAAGTGCCAAAAAATGCCTCTAAAGGCAAGGAGCAGGTGCCTAGTCCAGAGCTGAATTTGATCAACTTCCCACAATTGAGTGCTGTTATGTTGAGTAATGCAAAGAATGGGAATACTGGGACAAAACAAAGAGAGGTACTGAGAACAAGACAAGTAGAACCACCTGAACCAGGTGGACTTATCACTGCTCAATGACTTGGCTTATATGGAATATTAGGGGTGTGAATAAAGTGTATAAACAAAAAGAGTTGAAAAAGTATATAAAGACAAAAAATATTAAACTTCTGGGCCTGCTAGAACCCAGGGTTAAGCAACATAGGTGGTTAAAAATAACGTCAAATATTGCTCCAAACTACGGGATAGTAAATAATTATTTCTGCTGCAGCAAATGGAAGAATTTGGTTGATGTGGGATCAAGGAGATACTATAAATACCCTAAAGATGGAAGCTCAGTTAATACATTGTGAAGTTAGAGAGACCTCTAGTAAACTACAATGTGTTCTGACTATTGTATCTGGCTTTAATACTGTAGAAGAAAGGAGAAGTTTGTGGTCAAGTTTGCAAGATATATCAAGTAGTACTAACTGCCCATGGTTAGTTAGTGGAGATTTTAATGCAATCCTAACTACTGCAGATAGAAGGAGCTGCTATCCTGTGACTTTCAATGAGGTTAAAGAGTTTGCAGACTGTATTAATTACACCTTACTATGTGAACTACAATGGAAAGGTGACTACTATACCTGGACAAATAAACAGCAAGGAGTAGAGAGAGTTAGTAGTAAAATAGACAGGGCTTTTGGTAATCATGACTGGATGATGAACTGGGGTCATGTAGTGTTAGAATATGATTTACCTAACATATCTGATCATGCACCTACGCTGTTGACATTACACATTGTGAGCCAAAAAATCAAGGCTCCCTTCAGGTTCTTCAATATATGGGGAGAGCATGCACAATTTCTGGAAATAGTGGAGGCACATTGGAAGAAGCAATTGAATAGTGATCCTATGCAGAATGTTTGGAATAAGCTGAAGGCAATGAGACCAGCCTTCAGGCAATTGAACCAAAAGGAATTTCAGGCAACTACAGAGAAAATTGACCGGGCAAGAGAAGATCTTCAAAAAATTCAAGCAGCAATGGGAGCAAACTATAATGATAATCTAGTGACAAAGGAGAAACAAGCTCTAATGCAGCTAGAGAAATGGAGCCTGGTTGAAGAAAGTATACTAAGGCAGAAATCTAGAGCACAATGGATACAATTAGGAGATTCAAATTCTAAGTACTTTGCTGTAGTCATGAAAGAAAGATGCCACAAGAAGCAAATCAGGGATCTCAAGTCTCTACAAGGTGGTCAGCTGTTATCTGAACCTAATGATCTAAAAGAAGAAATTGTGTCCTTTTATAAAGGATTGATCAGGACCTCTAATAGTTACCTCAAGGCTGTCAACAAGATTACAATGAGTAATGGACCTAAACTTAGTCATGAACAACAAATGTTGTTGTGTGCTCCAGTTAGTGATCAAGATAGTTGATGGATTAGAAGCAATTGGAAATGATAAGTCCCCTGGGTTGGATGGGTATAATGCCTACTTCTACAAAAAGGCATGGAAAATTGTTGGACCTGAGATCACAATAGCAGTAAAGAAATTCTTTGAAAGCAACAAGATGAATAGATCCATCAACTGTACTTCTGTCACTTTAATTCCTAAGAATGATCATCCTGATACTGTGAAGGAGTATAGGCCAATTGCTTGTTGTACAGTATTATACAAAATCATCTCCAAAGTCCTTGCATCAAGACTCCAAAAAGTCATTGCATCAATTGTGTGTGAGGTGCAGACTGGCTTCACTCCAGGAAGGAAGATATCTGATAATATATTTCTTGCTCAGGAGCTGGGAAATCCTATACAAGGAAAAATGTATCTCCTAGATGCATGATAAAAATAGACCTCCAAAAGGCCTATGATTCTGTGAAATGGGTGTATCTGGAGCAAGTCCTAGATGAGCTAAGATTTCCTAGAAAGTTTACTGTATGGATCATGGAGTGTGTTAAAACTGTCAATTACTCTATTATGGTGAATGGAGAACCTACAGCTCCTTTTAATGCAGCTAAGGGACTCAGGCAGGGAGATCCAATTTCCCCATTTCTCTTTGCAATTTCCATGGAATACCTTAGTAGGAATCTCAATGCTGTGAAAGGAAGTCAAGAATTCAAGTACCACCCAAAGTGTTCTAAACTATATCTGACTCACTTGTCTTTTGAAGATGACTTATTGTTATTCTCTAGAGGAGATGTTGAATCTGTGGCTACCCTTCATAGATGTTTTAAAGACTTCTCAGAAGCTTCAGGTCTTCAAGCCAACAAAGAGAAAAACTCCATTTATTTTGGAGGGGTGGCTCAAGATGTGCAGGATCAAATCCTAAAGCTCTTAGGATTCCCCAAAGGAGAACTCCCCTTCAGATATCTGGGAATTCCTTTAGCTACAAAAAAGATCTCCTTAATCCAGTGGCAACCATTGATTAACAAGATGGTAGCTAAAATCACCTCTTGGACTGCCAAGAAGCTGTCATATGCAGGTAGAGCTCAGCTAATTCAAACTGTTCTCTTTGGTATCCAAGCTTACTGGGCACAACTGTTTGTTATCCCCTCAAAAGTGCGAAATACAATTGAAGCCTACCGTCGAAGCTACCTATGGTCGGGCACAAACACAATCACTAGGAAGGCTTTAATTGCTTGGGAGAAGGTCTGTACTCCAAAGTCAATGGGTGGACTAGGCTTGATGAACATGCGATTATGGAACAAAGCTGCAATAACTAAAGCTAGTTGGGATATAGAACACAAAAAGTGACAGGCTATGGATCAGATGGCTGCATGCATACTATATCAAGAATCAACAATTTGGTCAAATGGCTATTCCTCAACAGGCTGGGTGGATGGTAAAGAAATTATTTGAGGCAAGAACTACATTGTCACTGATTCAATACAACACTACTGGGAGTGTAATGAAGCAGATTTATTTTCAGTTAATGGGGAACAATGTGAAAATTCCATGGAAAACATTGAGGTTTAGAAATAATGCTCG